AAGTGGTACTTAATCAGATTTAAACTAGCCGTAGACAGCCACTCAGCTTTGGCCCTACTTTGGCCCACATATGGCAACATCTGGCTGGATATGGCCCACATCGTCTTCAGTTGATTGCACACTTGTCTTTGGTGTGAACGTGTTCATTGATAATCTGTTGTTCTACGTTCAGGTCGACGTCATCACACGGTTTTGATAGATCCGTAGGGTGAACAAACTTAGGTATTCAGGCTCAATCGGCATGTGCAACGAATGTTTCCGACAGGTTCCAGGAATATTTTTACGACTGTGAATAATTTGTGGGAAAATTCGTGGGTATTCTTGAGTATTAGTCACAACTGTCTTACAAGAGATTATAAAATTATCAAAGTAATCAACAAAGACCTACGCGAGCGAGTTTTAATCTCACCGATAATTGATTGGTGATAGCTTGTTAATCTTTTGTGGCTTCACACCTACCGATTGAAGGCCGGATTATACATTGTTGATTCAATGGAAATTGTGTGATGGCACGGTTGATTGATGTTGTAATTCGGAATATTCAGAGTACGGATTACTCTAAAGATTTTTTGGCTGAAATAATAAGGAAGTAAATTGGGACATGAAAATGATGTCGGATTTCACAGTATGTCCACTGTATATTCAAGACATTTGAAAAAATATTATGCAAGAAGTTTGCCATGTTTGGGCCAGAGATGGCCCACATGCAACTGGCCAAATGCCTCAAAATATCAACCCAATAAATATTGGTTCAGAATATGACATCAAGTTCCAGCAGAAGTTTCCTGGGTGCTGTGGTGGTGTTCTATATTAGTTTTATTAGGAATAAAAAATAGAGTCTTAAAATAATATTTTTTTAATGTACAAGATTACAGAAAGCTTATTGGCCGTTTGTCCTCGATTTTGCAGGACCTGTGTACTAATGTATCGATCCTGGGTTTGTGTAGTGGCTCTAGGAAGACCTGAACGAGGTCTATCATCAACATTGTGTGTTTGTTGGTACCGCTTCCACAGTCTGCTGATCACAGACTGTGACACATTAAGCATATCTACTGCTCGTTGTGTAGAACCCATTTGAAGCATGCCAATAGCGCGTAGATGTTCTTCATGTTGAAGACGTCTCATTGCAAATTAAACGTAACACACTAAAGCAAAAATACGCTAAACAGTAATGCAAGAACCGATAGGAAAGCAAACATGGATAGGATAAACCAGCACGCGCCAACCCTTGAAGTGTCAAATTTGACAATGAACCCCTCCCACGTGTATGGCGCTATTGCGTGTCGCATGTGCAGCTCAGTGGTTCTGTTGGGGCGATAACTTCTTCATCTGTGAACATACCTGCATAGGTATTTTCATTTCAATATCCCCTACTTTTTTTGAAGAGTATATTTTATTACTTTCTATACAATAATAAAAAATTAGATAAGATCTATGTGGTTTTATTATTTAAATAATTTCATTTAACTATTCTTTTGCCTTGGCATCATTAACAGAATTCAAATTAATCAACAGAGAGAAAAAATAAGCTTATCAAATTAGAAGAAATTATGGGCTAACTATATCTATTCCAAATATAAGAATTATCCGACTTAACGCTTTGACACTGGCATTGACAGACCCCTAGACCATGCTTGATATAAAGAAGTAAAAATGTGTTTTTTTTTATGTACATTTTTTGCATTTATTGCAGGTGTGATCAAACTCCACCACAAGGATTATTAAAATAATAATTGGATCATAATTTAATGGTTTCACTGACCAGTTGCTAGTTAAATATAATCATCGGATAAAACATCAAATACACCGAGAAACAGTCATTAAATATTATGAATCTCCAATGCCGAATCCCCAATGATACGTGACGTTGGAATAAGGTCAATAGCGTTTACCGTTATGATTTTTTATTTTATACACATGCTGAAAAAATATTGTCATTATTATTGAAAGCTGTATGGCATAGTCGTATCAAATTTAATTTTAAAGCCATTTCAATTATGGTTGTCACGTGATTACTGTGCCGTGTGTCTATCATGGACGAATGAATAAAAACATCTGCAAGTTACTTGATAGAAAAAAACCTACAAATTGTGTTATGAAGAAATACCATGGTGCCGTATCAGCTTATATCCATCGAAAAAAATGAATACAGTAATTTGCTTGTGCATAGGGTTCTTTAGCACTGTGAGGAAAGGACCCGGAAAAGCCGATGAGGTTAGACAGGCAACCTTACTTCTTGTCACATACAAGTGGGCATTAGAAACCACACCACTTGACTCAATGACAGACCTTATGATTTCAGGGGCATGCGTTAAACCACTAGACCATCCAACCTCCGTCTTTAAGAAGGGATAGAAATTGTACCACCTCTGGCCCACATCTTTGTCAGCTGTTAGCTCTGACTGGGCCATGTCCAGCCCAGATTTTGCCCAGTTGTGGTATGCCATATCCGGCCCAATCATTTTGCCAGATATGGGTCTGTGTCTGTGCCAAATATCATGCAAAGTTTCCGACATTGAAAGCACAAATTTAAATCAACAATGATGTTGTGATCTTACCAGGAAGAGATGGGCTTCTGATATCCAATATTTAAGACAAAATAAACATTTTGGTACCATAATGCGTTTCAGTGCAATTTGTAACAAGGGACTCGAAGAACGAGGCTAGACATATTCCACAGGTCATGTCAAATGTTGAAGACATATTCTTATCGGTGTAGACTGGAATAACCAGACCCTAGAGATTGCCATTCAATTGAGACTTCTCGCGTATTTCGCCGAACATAACTGATTAGAAATTACAGTAAAAATCGAAACGATTGAATGTAAATCAGATTATATATATTCATTTTACATTATTATATGCATTGCGACCCATTTGTGTCGATTTCTAGGTCCCAAATATTAGCAATTTAGCTCCATGAAATATAGTTGGCTTAGGGTCTTGTTTAACTGTGGAATCACAATGCAACAACTCATATTGACTGCTTGGAGTGTTGTACGAATATGTTTTTCTGTCTGACAATCTATCTTTAAACATACATGTTGATTGCTTCATGATTCTTTAAACAGGTTACAACTTAGAATTTTGCAAATTAATATTAAAAGCTTACCTGGATTGTTCTACCACTGGATGTATAAAATAGGAATTTCATTGTCCCCCACCTTTCGAAGAAAGCAGGGGACTATTAAAATGGGTTCGTCTGTCTGTCCATCTGTCTATCCGTCCATCTGTCTGTCCTTCACACTTTTTGTGACACAATAACTCTCTTTCTAATTGAGCTACAATGTTCAAACTTGGTGTAGGTGTTTATTAGGTCAATGCCTTGATGGATTTCAAAGAGGAGCATTTTCTGCTTAGGGTAAGCAGAGATATGCAAATTTTGTTGGTTGATGCTTTGGGACACGTAACTTTAGTTTTAATTAAGTGAGAGTGATGAAACTTGGTGTCTAGTTTCATTACATCAATACCTTGACTAAGTTCGATAATGAGCATTTTCTGCTCAGGGTAAGCAGAACAATAAGCAATTTGATTGGTCTAGACTTTGGAACACAATAACTCTCCTTCTAATTGAGTTAGAATGTTCACACTTGGCGTAGGTATCTATTAGGTGAATGCCTTGATGGAATTCGAAGATGAGAATTTTCTGCTTAGGGTAAGCAGAGATAAGCAATTTGATTGATGCTTTGGGACACGATAACTTTAGTTCTAATTAAGTGAGAGTGAGGACACTTGGTATATAGCTTTATTACAACAATACCTTGACTAAGTTTGATAATGAACATTTTCTGTTGAGGGTATAAGGAGAGTGATAAGCAATTTGATTAGTCGAGACTTTGGAACACAATACCTGTCCTTCTAATTGAGGTAGGATGTTCAGACTTGGTGTAGGCGTTCTTTAGGTGACTGCCTTGATGGAGTTCGATGATGAACATTGTCTGCTTACGGTAAGCAGAGATAAGCAATCTGATTGGTTGATGCTTTGGGGCACGATAACTTTGGTTATAATGAAGTGAGAGCCATGAAACACTGAATATAGATTCATTATATCATTACCATGACTAAGTTTGATGGTGAGGATTTTCTGCTTAAGCTAAGGAGCGATAAGCAATTTGATTGATCAAGACTTTGGAACATAACAACTCTGCTTTTAATTGAGGTAGAATGTTTAAATCTGATGTAGATGTTCATTAGGTGAATATATTGACTGAATTCAATGATTAACATTTTGAGCTGAAGCTAAGCAGAGCTAATCAATTTCATTGGTCCATGCTTTGGGACAAGATAATCTTGATTGTATCTGATAGAGAGTGATGAAACTTAGTGTATAGTTTGATTGCTCGATACTTTTGAAAAAAATAAATGTGGGATTAATTAGAATGTGTCATCTATTTATTTTGGGATTTCTGTGGGGGGACATCAGCCTCACTGTTGGCTTGTTTTTACTTCAATCACTTTTAACTCATTCAGTCTACAGAAAGTTTTAGCTGAGTCCTGATATCAATTCTAACGGATTGAAATAAAATATTAACAACTCGGTGATCTTCTTTAGCTTTAATGCATACATTTTAAAAAAAAATATTCCTGTTCTTCCTGCAAGCTTATTAAAAATTGATGGATGTTGGAAATCCTAAAGAACCATACAATTTATTCCTAATACAATATCATCTGGTAAATTTATACATGAAATGGTATTCTCTTATGTCATTCTTTTGCAATGTTCTGCATACAATTTGATTTTGTAGAGCTGTAGCCATAGAAGCATAACAGTCAATTTTTACTAATGATCTGTGGGGAAATTTTTTTACTTTGAAACATAAAAGCATTATTTTGACGGAAGAATCCCTTAGTGTATTTCTTTAAAACATTTGTCATTGAAAGTCGAAAATTTTCTTCCTCCTGCAGAAACAAAAATCACCAAATAAGCGAAGAAGCTTATAAACCTCAGTTTGTAGCAGAGTTGGTGCACTTAACACAAAATCTTTATTTATACTTGACAGGTCTGAGTTTTAAATCTTGGTACCATGGAAAATTGGTGTTGTGGGATACTTAATAGGTGAGTTACTTGCTGTGTTTTTTCAGCTATGAAAAAATAAAATAAGAAACCTATCAAAAGTTGACATTGAATAGTTAAGGACCAACACTTTATCCTTACTTTGAAAGCCACAGTTTGGTTGTCCTATCTGATTTGTTTTTACTTTATCTTGTATATTAAGTCTTGAAGGAACATTTTTATCTGAAACTCTGCATGTTTAAATTAAGAGTAAAAAACAAAAGAGGGCTCGGGTGGTAATAGTAGTTTTTGTAGACATAATATTTTATTATGTTTTAGTATTTAATGTTATTAGTACAAATAGTATTTTAAGGTCATTTATGGATATATCACATATCTCTTGTTCTCAAATATATCATCAGTTATCTTTAATGTTTTAGTTAAAAAAGAAAACTATGGGATGATCACTTGATCAGCAATGTATCAATTTAATGTCAAATTTTGTATATGTTACATCTTATTCTAGCTTTAAAGTATCAAGTTTTTGTCAGTAAATGGTCACGATTTTAAAGATATCTGACAACAAATCAATAGTTTAAAATGAAAACAGATAAATTTCACTGACATCCAGTTTAGGTTGGAAAATTGGATGAAGCTAGCATTGGTTGTGATTTCAAGATCTTTGTCATTTAATTCAGGATATGCAACCTGTAAGTAATCAAGGAGCAAATCAGTCATCTGTAAGTAACCATTAAATCATGTAAATTGAACAGCAGTAACCCTTTATAATTCAAATACTGATATTGGCCATTTTTAATAAAAACTAATCAAAAAATTGGACTGATTTTAATCAAGATTATGATTACATCTACCTAATATAGTAATAATAATACTACATATAGTTTGATATTTACTAATGATATCACTATCAGATATAAATCAACACAGCAATAAAACTATTTATGACAAACCACCATCTTAAATTATGCATAAAAGATCTTTTTAACAATTATGTAACCAAAAGGAGGACAACAAACACTGCATTGTAAATCAACTATTTATATTTTTGTCTTGACTCACGGCAATTTTATTAACATAATAAGTCTGCCAGTATGACCATTGATGTATTCTTATGGGATATCAATATTGACGGAGCCTAAATGAAACTTAAAATCACTTTCAGGAAAATACACACTATAGATATCTAAAGCATGCTCATCATGTACTAAATCTAAGGTACAACACAATATATCCATTATTGAAAACCCATACAACTTCTCATTTAAAGAAGACACAAACTTTAGTTGTTCTTTTGTGTACAAAATTTGTACATGGTAGAGAAATTTGGACACTAACCAGGTCATTTTTGAACTAATATTATATATTTCTTCATTATTATTTCAAGGAAACCAAAATGCCCAGAGAAAACCATGAGGTTAAGCAGGTGACACTACTTGTGGTCAAACCAGAAATCAAATCCATGACTTGAATAGATAACAAGCACACATACACAAGACTATTCCTCCTCTTAGTCCCATAGAAAATAAAGAGGAAAAAAGAACATTGTAGGTATGATTTGGTTTGCTTCAGAAAAGAAGGGTATATCATTCCGGAGGTAACATGATGTTTCTGTACTTTATTTTGATCTGAATATCATATTAATTGAAATGGAATATTACTGAAATCATTTTGCCTGGCTTATTGAAACTTTCTTCAGAATTTTCTTCAGAGTGGTGATAAATTATGGAAGAATCCTATTAAAATTCAAAAGTGAGGAAACATTGTTATTTATTATTTGCATTATCAGCATTTTTCACCAGTCAGGTTGTATGAAGTATGATATAAAATTGTGTAATTAGTTAGCCTGTGATTAAGAATCTGTACGATGTGTTTGGTAACTTTGATAGATGATTGTTATTGATTAACAATTTTCTATTTTAGTCATTGACTCAATGTGTTGCTCTAGTTTTATCCTAAAGAGTTTAGGTCACTTCTGTCCATCATCAGTCTGTGCCTAGTACATGATTATATGCACATATATCAATATGGTAGTATATTGTTATTGCTTTCTTTCCATGATCAGTTCCCAATTACTTTTACTAATTCTACAGAGCTAATTTCTTCACCAAATTTTTTAGGAGTAATTAGTTATGTGGTAAAGATAAGTCATGTCAATTTTGAACATGAATTTATATAAGCCCCGGCTTGTTTTCAGATCCCACAATTATATAGTGTACTTTTATAATATGTAAATATTTATTGAATAAATAGTGTCAGAAAAAAAAGTGACAAATTTTCACCGCTTTTTATCAAAAATTTAAAGGAAATAAACAGGTGTTTAACGTCCTATTTTTCTGCACTGACGGCTAATGAAGACGGGTGTATGCTACGAAGAAAATTTTGCCCAGGTGGCACTCCAGCCTACTATTATTTCAACTTCCAGCTGTCAAGGCTTATTTTACGTGCATGCCAATGTGTACACAGGACCTTTTTTTTTTCTTCGTCCAATCCGAAATATTCCTTCTTAGTGAGCCAGTGTCTTATGTACTGAGCCACTGCGGTTCCCAAAATTTTGAATTAATAGTGAGATTTAGGTGAAGATGTTTAAACTATCAGATTTATTACCCTTGACTTATGATTGTTTATTGAGGGATATAGCTCTGTTTTTCTCCCTCTATTGTCCGGTTCTCACATGAATTGGATGTTGATCATTATTTACAGTGCAGATTCCCAAATTCGGATAGGGATGCATATGTTACCCTGTCTGGCAAGCTATGATTTGACTTCTTCTACAGAATGATGATGTGATTTCAACCAAATTTCATATGTAGGTATTAAAACGGAGGCATCGATTTGTTTATTTGAAGAACTTTCGTACATGACATCATGAAATACGCCCCCCCCCCCACCCCAATAAATAAACAGAAACCAAGTAGACAAATCAGTGGTCAAGACACAATGCACAACAACACTGCAAGTAATAAACAATAATTTTACCATCAAATCATAGGAATGGATCAGGGGGCCGGACATAAGCATCCACTGTGAGGTTTAATTCATTACAAGGGAGACAATCCATAAACGCAAACACAAAAAATGGGAACATTTCTCAAACAGTATATTATTGTAGTGTATATCATGATTGGTTGTGTGTTTACAAGATATTTCATTGTTACTAAAATGAAGAAAATGGTTTAGGATTACTCAGTTTGTAGAAATGAGGCAAAATCAAAGTCCAGAACAAGGCTAATCAATAGGGTTTCTAACATAAGGGTTTAAATCTATGAAAGCAGCTATAGAATGTATTAAATGCAAAGTTAAGGCATTTAAGTCCTTCTATAACCCCGTTTACATTACAAATTTTAGGCGTGCCAGGCACGGTACAAGCACAGCTTGGTTAATTTTTTTGTAGTGTAAACAGGTAAAACGTAAGCGTGCAGTACTGAGTACCATGCCAATCTGGTCACTGAAGTGAGGTGGTCTCGGCACGGTGCCAGGCAGGGTTAATTTTTGTAGTGTAAACGCTATCCGGTCTGAGCACGGTTTCAGTACGGATTACTGTGCATGCTCGAAACGAACCTTGACCTTTTTCTCCGCCAACTTTAACAGTTCTGTCATCAGTTCTGTCAAAATGGCTGCTCAAACCAAATCAACCAACATAAGTGTCTTCATCTGGGTAATTTGCATAGGGACTGAAATAAACTTTTCTGTGAAGAGTTCTACATTTGGCGAGCCTGGCACGGTTCCGAGACCAGTTCTTTTAGAGTAATATTATTATTGGGTCAATTTCTTGAAATTTATTGCGGCCCGGTACCGTGCCAAGAACGCCATGCTTATCGTGGCCAAGTGTAAATGGGGCTTATGCACCCACATTTTCACGTGGATAGTTTAGGTTGATATTCTGTGTTCCACGACCTTCCATTCTAGAGGTACCCCCCTTGCAAACATAGTGAATGTGGTAGAGGTTACAGTTTTTAACAATTTGTTTTTCAAATTTAGTGTGAAGCATTGGGGTTATGAGTGAACATTCAACTTTTTTAGTTATTTTCAGACTATTAACCTTGCTGTAGATAATTTTGTCTCGAAAATTAATAAAAGATGTCAGTTAGAATGTTTAAATGTTCGACTGTAATACCATAGGTTGTTGGTTTGTTTGATGAAGACCACAAGTTAGGATATTTACTTCCAGTATTGACCGCAAGATAAGAAAAAAAAGGTGTGATGAAATGAATGTTAGAGTTAACAAACAGGGTGGTGAAGAGTTAATTTGCCACCATAATCATCACACATCTTGTGAGAAAATTGGCCCGCAGAGAAAACATGTAGAGGAAAGGCAAGCAAGCTCTAATAATCAATAGGGAAAAAGTTACGAAGCCATCAAATCTGAGAATTATCTCTGGTGGCTTATGTTCTTAGTCTCGGTTAACGGCCCCCTTTCGTCAAGACCTATAGCCTTAATCAATCAAGTATTATAAAAACCACCATCACTTATGGTGAAAGTTGATATGTCATACACGTATGTTGGAGCAATCTCTTTATTAAGTCATAAAGTAGCATCAAATAAACTGTGGCTGTTTGTGGTAATACTCTAATCTCATTAATTAATGATAAACCAGCTTCAAATAACCTGTGTTGACAAAACATTTTATTAATTCCATTGATTTTATGTCTGTTACTAACAGTAAATTCTAGAACGAAATTAATATCTTTACAAAAGAAAAAGATATGGAATGAAGAACAAATTTATATTTTCCTATGAGAACGAATGTTATTTATGCTTAGTAAACCTACTTTTACAACTATTAAAATGGTAAAAATAATTTAATCTATTATTAAATAGTGTATGGACCATTTTAGATTATACACACTTTCTTAATAGAATTTACAAGATGGCATCCATCTTGGAACAAAGAAAGGTATGCTGAATGCATTCCATGTTATAAATGCGATAAACAAGTAGGAAACACAATTTCCTTGAGAGATAACAATATTCAATGTTTTTGTTTTGTTTCAGACATAGAAATAACTTGATAGGGATTGAAGCAGGGCTTCCGCGTCAGAATTTTGACTTTCGGTCATTTTTGATAATGCACATAAAAATTGCAAATTAAATTCATATTTCATGTTTTTTATTTATGGTAGGGTATTGTGTCTATATATTGCACTAAGAAATAAAATATTAGTAAGGCTTATGATAATTATTTATTAATGAAATATTCCCTTTTGACTATTTAAATAGCTTTTATTATCGAAATTGAACAAGTCAGCAGAAGAATAATGAAGCTTATTAATGCTATAAAATACATGTGTCCATCCATGTATATATATGTAGGCTTACATAATAAGAAAATTTAGCAGTATGTAATAGGGCATATGATGTATATGATGAAGACATATCTTTACTTCCTGGATAATATTGATAGTATGATGTACATAGTATTTAAATAAGTAAGCTTTGTAAATATAAAGAATGTGGGGACGTCGTCGACCCTTCGGGACTAAATCTTATGAAATTGTATAGCCATTCTTTGCGAAAGTTCTTAAGTGTGAATCCATTTTTATACACCAACATAGAGATGTGGACGTATATTGCCGTCGCCCACATCCGTCCGTCTGCCGGTCGGTCCGTCCGTTGTCCACAATTTCTTGTGAACGCTCTAACGCCAAAAGTTATCATCTAGTTGTTATAAAATTGATATATGTTGTTTGCATTAGTGAGATGAAGAAGCCTATTTAATTTCAATAATGTCTGTTTATTACGTCTGTTTATTGTTTGTTGAACCTTGTGACTGCTCTACTGCCAAAAGTTAACATCTGATCTTTGTGAAATTTATATGCAATATTTAAATTAGGGAAACGAAGAAGCCTATTGAATTCCAGCAATTTCCGTTTATTACTTCTAAGAGTTATGGCCCTCGTTTCTCTTTGTTAAACCTTGTGAACGCTCTGACGCCGAAAGTTATTCTCCTATCTTTCTGAAATTTATATGCATTATTTAAATTAGTGAAACGAAGAAGCCTATTGAATTTCAGCAATTTCCGTTTATTACGTCTATAGAGTTATGGCCCTTGTTTCACTTTATTGAACGTTGTGAATGCTCTAACATTAAAAGTTATCTGCCGATCTGTTTGAAATTTGCATGCGTCATTTAAATTAGTAAAGAGAAGAATCCTATTGAATTTCAGCAATTTCCGTTTATTACTTCTAGAGTTATGGCCCGTGTTTCACTTTGTTCAACCTTGTTAATGCTCGATTGATGAAAGTTAATATCATCCGATATGTTTGAAATTTATATGCATCATTTAAATTTGTGAAACAGAGGTCTATTGAATTTCAGCAATTTTTGTTAATAATTTCTAGAGTTAAGGTGGTTGAGAACGTTTGAATGACAAAAGTGATCATCTGATCTGTATGAAATTTATATGCATTATTTAAATTAGTAAAACGAAAAAGCCTGTCGAATTTCTGTAGATTACTTCCAGAGTTGAGACCCTTGTTTCAGTTTGTAGAATCTTGTGAACCCTCAAACAGCAAAAATTATAATCTGATCTGTTATGGAACTGTCTTGTAAAGGCCCCTAATTACCTACAAAGGAATAAATATGTGACAACCCTTGTTGAGCGCTCTAACGATTTAGCTGCTGTGGGCGTATGTTTCATTGCATGGCAACCTATCTTGATTTAAAATGGTTCAAATATTATCCAACGTGACACATCAATTATTATGTTTCAGTCGGGATCAGTCGTGAAAGGCCCAATTATTTGTGAAAGGCCCAATTATTTGTATCGTAACATTTCTACTTGCATATCAGCCTTCTAAATGATGTGATTGTTTTTTTCGGGGAGTGTGCGGCATGGGCTATTTCCGAATTGGATATTTCCGAATTGGATAATAGATGCCATTTCTCTTGGGAGGGCTTGTTAAATTGAACAATAGTGGGATCATAATCCGTTATATAAATGATCGAATTTTGTTTTGGTGATCTAAAAATAGTTTTCACTCTGATTTGAGCGTACATATTTTTATAAGGCATATAAAAGGATCAGAATAGTTTTTCGGTCTATACGATGAGGGTGATCTACTATGAATCAAAATCATCTAAATTTGCTTTTCAAATTTTGACTCCAGTATAGCGGTATAAATTTGTTGTTCAATTTAGGGAGTATTAAAGGAGCTAAATCGCCAATATTTGGGACCTAGAAATTGACACAAATGGGTCGCAAAGCATATA